AAGCAAACAATCCATAGGAGACTCACTCAAAGAGTGATCTAGATACACAAGCCAATACACAAGAAAAAGCGGGGATGCAACCTCCGAAGACTTTCCCTTGCCAAATCAACTAACAAACAGCACTACCACACTACAGACTAAGAAAGCAAAAAGGAAAAAAGAAAGGAAACCACAAAGCTACAAAAACTCAAATTAAACAAAAGCTACTAAACCAATACTATCAATGCAAACTCGCAAATTCTTGCCATTCTCTCCACGCCACTCGAACTACAATCTCTTCCGGCATCCACACCTTCTCGAATAACCACAGATTCCGAGATTGCCAGAGCTACCATAATATGTACGTGGATAGTTGTATTCGAGCTTCGGCCACCTCGGACTTGTCCAATGCACATACTTTCTGTTTGTTATGTTTATGTTTTTTTTCTTGTGTTTTATCTGTTAGTTGAGTCATTTTTAGGTTCGGTTTTGTGTAATCCGGTCCATTTTATCGTGTTTTATGTGTTTTGGTTTGTGTTATGTGTTCTTGTATTTTTCTGTATTTTCGCGTCTCTTTTGGTGTTTTGTTTAGGTCCCATTTGCGATTGTTGAGAAGACGAGTCGTTCGTGCCATTTTTGAGCCATGAACCGAACCATTCGAGCCATCCGAACCATCACCCGAGAGACAAAGTCAAAAGTCATGCCCATGCACCAAAGGGTCGAGCACTCGCCGCAGAACACGTTTGGCGATCCGCGAAAGGGCTCAAGTGCGTGCATGAGGAAGCCCGACACTCGAGGGCGAGATTGGATTCGCAAGTTGCGAGATGGCGCGCGCACATGCCAGCCTTAGCCAAGACACTCGCTGCGAACGGAGCTTCGCACCGCGCCAAACGCACAACAACGAGAACACCGCACTCGCTAGCAAACCATCATCCGCGACCCGCGAAGCGCGCACCACAGAAACCCAGACCAGCACACTCGCTAGCGAACCTTCGTTCGCGTGCCGCGAAATGCGCATCCCCAGCATCCAAGGCCAAACTCACTAGCGAACATCGTTTGGCGACCCGCGAACAGCAATTTCTGCACTACTCCATGCCCAAACTCGCTGTCCATTTCGAGACCCGCAAACTGCAGAATTTCATTAAATATGTGTGTTTTTAGTGTGTGTTTGTGGTGTAGCTATAAATAGACATTATGCTTTGTATTTTGGGGCATAACCCTCATTTTCCAATTTTTAAGTTGAGAATTCCTCTCTATTTTCTCTTTTTCCTTTTTATGCTTTGGTTTGGAGCTTATGAATCAAGTTTTCCGGCGAATTTCTGGCGATATTGTTTCGAGTAAAGTTTCGAGCTTTTGACTCTGGTTTTCTTTCCAAGTGCGTGTGAGAGTGGGTACTTAGTCTTAAGCCCCATTACTTCGTATATCGTTATTTACATTTTGTGAAAATTGATATTGTGCTTGTGTTGCTTGGAGGAAAAGATTGAATCTTTAGATTGTGAATGCTTGACTAAGTTTGATTAGGAGTTGAATGCTTGCTCGTCTTGTGCTAGTGTTGGGTTTAGCTTCCTAGGGTTTTAGCTAGCATGACAATGTTCGATTATTTGCGTGTGATTGATCATGGAGACTCCAGCGAACCAAAATCTCTCTTTCCCCCTTAATTTCTCTCATCTTCTTGCGTGCTTTATCTTGCCTTGTTAATTGCTTTCAATTGCCTTCAATTTCGTAGCGTAGTCTAGCTTTAATTCAAACCCCCAAATTGTGAGTAGCATGTTTAGGACTTTTTTGGTTGTGTGATTTGGCGACTAGATAGTGAACGAAGCTCCGAAGAGCCTTCCTTTGAGAACGACCCGAGTCCGGGTAACTCGGTTACCAATTGCCCAAAAATACTACAAACACTTTCCACCACCAAACTTTAACAGACTGGTTTGGCAAATTTGTGGCATATTATATAAAAAATAGTCTTATGAAGGTTGTAATGATTTATATATCACTAATGTTATAAGATGAATAATAAAATGGATAGCTAATTTATATAAGGAGAAGAATATCAAAATTGTTAAGGAAAAAATCTAAGCTAAGTTCCTCTTGAAGTTTAGATAATAGTTGCAATTTGTTTATGAATGTAAATAGTGACTTAAATATTTTTATGATAGGAGAAATTGAAACTCGAAATGAGTAACAAAAAAAAAATCCTGATACGATATGATTTTTGTAATGATCGCTTATGAGTAGAATTCATATTAAAGTTGAAACAAGAAGAACATTATTGAAATGCAATCAAGAAATGATTGACGTAATCCGTCAATAAGAAATAATTTTTTGGCCGTTTATTTTAGCAAAAAAAATATCTTACATGAAAGTTGTGATATCTCTAGGTCTAATTTCAACTCATTATAATCAATTTTGTTACGTATGATACACTCATTTAATTTGTAACATTATCTTACAATAATATATGATTTTTCATACTTTGTATTTCTTTTATTACCAAAATGATATGTTTAAATATAAATAATTATATTTAAAATAAAGATTTGGAAAAAATTTTAAGGAACAAACTTGTTCGTGCATCGCACGGGATGCTCACTAATTTTTACATTATAATAAGTTGTTATTTTTTGATGAGTAAGGCCTTGTTTGGTAATTAGCTATTAGCTGTTAGCTATTAGCTGATTGTATTAGCTGTTTTGACCAGCAGATTGCATTAGCTGTTTTGAACAGTTGATCGTGTTAGCGGTTTGTAAAAAAGTGTTTGATAAAATTAATTTTTTTAATTAGCTGTTAACATGTAAAATTACTTATAAGGATATTTAATAATTATTTAGAAAATAAAAATATTTAATATTTTAAATATTTCTTAAAATGATTTAAATATGATAAAAAATATAAGAATAATAAAATAAAAATATTTCATAATCGAGTAAATAAGTTCACGCCATGTAAACAAAGTCAACAACAATTCATACTAATGGAAAATATAAATATGGCTCAATCACAATATTCACTATTATAATTAAAAAAAATAAAAGAAACGAAATAGAAAAAAAATGGAAGGACAAAGAACTTGTTTTGGAAATAGGAAAGAAAAATGGAAGGGCAGAGAAGTGGGCAATTGAGACTTTTTTGCTTTTTTATTTTGATCCGCTAAATTCAAACACAGAATTTCAGCGTTTTTTAGTTTAGCGGATGGAACAAAAAAGGTATGTTTAAAAGTTGTTTACCAAACGATTTATTTTAGCAAATATGTAAAGTCAAACAGCTAAAAATGTGAAAAAGTTGTTTTAAGAGCAAAACGCTAAAAAACAGATGGGGCCTAAATAACTTTTATGTTAAGCCAAAAAAAAAAAATTTGCACGGTTTAGTCTATTGCCACATATCCTTGAAAGTAAGTAAAAACCTTTTTATTTATTTATTTATTTATTTATTTATTTATTTATTTTTTGTTTTAAAGAATGCTTAGATACAGAAGTTCTCCAAATAATCTCAACATTTTTAACGTAGCCACTTTTTTTCACTGTTAGAATTATCAAACCATTCTCATCCGTCCAAAGAGCATTCATTATCTCGGTCAAAGAAGCAAGAAGACACACAGCATGAAATAAATGCTATCACACTGCAAAATGATACCACGAGCTGTGCATGTGAAGAACCTGTTGTCACTTTGCATGACTCACCAACTAAAGCAACCATTGACAGCTATGGATTGGCCACATTTCTACACCCTTAGATGAGCATCTTCCTATTTTGGCTCTTTCGTTAAGATTATAACACATGTCCACATTCTAGAGAGTTCCCTTGTATTTAAATGCATCTCAGTAGCTAGGGTTTATGTACCAAGAAATACATTTGCATATTCTGCTGCTAATGAAATGAGATCTCGTGATGAAGCTTATAGCTTTCTTGTTCAGTTTTCTTTATCTATTCACCATGATTTTTGACATGGTATCAGAGCGGGTTAATAACTGCCTCTGATCCATCTCTTTCATTGTTTTTTTTTTTAAAAAAAAAAAATGTCAGAGGCTAGCTCAAGTTTGAACTCAAGGAGCTCGAGCTCTCTACAACTTATCTCTCCCAACAATCAGTTGGTCACTGTGAAGCTTGATGATGGAAACTTCCTTGTGTGGAAGCAGCAAGTTGAGATGGCCATCAAAGGCTATGGACTAGAAGGATTCATTCAAGGCACCAACCAACCACCACCAAGGTTTCTGGCTACAGGTGCTACTGGAGAAATCACACAAAATCCAGACTTCAGTTCATGGCAAAGACAAGATAGCCTACTTACATCCTGGCTCCTCTCTTCACTAGGTAATAGCATTCTTCCTCTAATGGTTGGCCTCAACTCATCTCAAGATATTTGGACTGCTTTGCTTAAGAACTTCAGTAATCAATCTCTGGCTAGAGTAATGCAGTATAAAATGGAAATCTAAGGTCTCAAAAAGGGCTCTTTAAGCATGAAGGAGTATATCAGTAAGATGAAGGCTTTATTTCATTCTTTAGCTGTTGTTGGGTATGTAGTCTCTGAAAAAGATCAAATCATGCATCTTATTAGTGGTCTTGGGCAAGAGTATAATCCTATTATGATGACTGTCACTTCAAGAGTGGAACCATGGTCTATGGTAGACTTGCAAGCCCTTCTCCTTAGCTTTGAGTCCAGATTAGAGGTAGTAGGAATTAGCACTCCTCATGTTAACTCTGATAGATCATATTGTTTATTGTGTTTTTGTGTTTATTTTTATGTATTTTTGTGTGCTTTCGAGTCGATTTTAGGTTTATTTTATTGTCGACCGGTCTATTTTGTCGTTTACCTTGTGTTTCCATGTTTTTCTTATTTATTTTATATTTCTGGCGTACTTGTTCGTGTTTTGGGTATACATTTCAGGCATATTCCGAGGATAGATATGGGGAGTCGAGCCATATCCCGAGAGAGTCGAGCCACGTTCCGAGAGACGAGCATTTCCCGAAGAAGTCGAGTTTCTGAGAAATAATCAGCCAAAGTCAATTCCGAGCCAAAGTAATCCCAAGCCTTGGTCGATTCCGTGTCGAACTGCATCCAGACACGCCCGCGCGCTCGCTGAAGAAGCCGCGAGCTCGAGAGCCCCGCGCGACCCACCTCATCACACGCTCGCGAGCCAGCGGTTACACCCGCGAGCTCGAGAGCTTCGCCGCCCCAGCACCTCGCGTGCTCGCGAGTTCGCGCGTACGCCCACGACGTCGAGAGCGCTGTTCACCATACCGCGTGCTCGCACCCGTAGTCGCGAGGTCGAGAGTTGCCCGTTCCTAGCGCCTCGCGCACTCGCGTGCTCGCGCCCCCCTCAGCGTGATCGAGAGTGCTGCCCGCCTTCCGTCTCTGCACCTTTTGTTCCTCGCGAGCCCGCAACGTCCACCGCGAGCTCGGGAGTGTGATATTTTAGCTGCGTTTTAGTATGTGTTTTTCTTGGAGTTTAAATACTTTTTGGCCTTTGCATTTGGGGATTATCTAGCTCATTATGAAATGTTTCCTTTTTTGGTTCTTAGCTTATATTTTATTTTTCTCTCTAAAGTAAGGTGGATGCTCTTTACATTTTCCGACGACTTTTTCCGGTGACTTCTCGTTTATGCAAGTTTTAATCTTTTTCTTCCGATTTCGATCAAGCATGCCCTAGGGATGTGAATACTTACTTTTAAGCTTTGTGATCTCGATTTTCGTACTTACTTGCTATCTCGTGCGTAGAAGTAATTAGGGCTTGCTCGATTATCAGATTTTTAGTAGCTATTTTAGTTATTTTCATTTCCCTTGCTTTTGTGAACTCGTTTATGATGCTTGGGGTTGATTGAGGTGTTGATTGCTACTTGAAAAATCGTGACTTTACTTTCAGCTCGGTTATTCCGTGGTAGGATTTCGGCTTTGGTTCCTAAGCATGCTAAATGGAGTTCGTTTCTCTTACTTTCGCTTTTGTTGCTCTTCATTTTGCTCACCGGATTAGTTGCTAAAATCCCATAGTTCGTTCACTTGCTCGTTTACTTGCTTTCAATAGTCGTAATTAGTGTTAATCAACCTCAACCCAAATTGATTAGTATGTCTAGGACTTTATTTTCGATTTTTGTGATTTGAGCAATTGAATAGTAAGTAAAGCTCCGAATAGCCTTCCCTCGAGATTGACCCGAGTCGGGTAGCTCGGTTATCCCTTGCCCACCAAATAATTACTAAACAAATGGCGCCGTTGCCGGGGAAGGCAAGTAGGACGCCTAATTTGCTATTTGATTGTTCCTTTTTCTCGCGTTTCTCTTGTTTCGTGTGATTTTGCTTAATTTCCGTATTTCTCTTTATTTCTCTTGATTTTCTAGGTAATTTTTGTTCTAGTTTGTGTTTTCAATTTCGATTTTTCCATTGCTTTCCATTGGTGCATTCACGGGTATAGTTTGTGGTTTTGTTTATGCGAGGTAAACGAGGGCGTAAACCCCGAGAGGAGCCACCGTCATTCGACCTCTTCGTTAAACTCAATATCGAAGAACCACAACCCGATCCTGAAATCGAATCAATGGCGGGACAAGAAGAACAATTGCCACCACAACCTCCCCCGAACATGAGATATTTTGCACGGCCTATCATTGAGACAACACTTCATGTCTTGTGCTCGGGGAGGCGGCCCGAAACTATGACCTTAAGATCATCAATCTAAACCAACTCCCGTCATTCTATGGCCTCGCCCAAGAGGATGCCCTCAATTTCATCCGAGACTTCTATGCAACCGTCAACACATTTCCGCTCCAAGGCCTAACCGAGAACCAACTTCGAATGAGATGCTTTCCCTACACGTTGAAGGACCGAGCCAAGACTTGGTTCATGACCTTGCTCCCGAATTCGCTCACAAATTGGGAAGCCGTGTATGAAAAGTTTATGGTAAAGTACTACTCACATCAAAAGACTACCGATCTCTGGACCCAAATCGCAAGCTTTAGCCAAAATGTCGGGGAGACCTTTCACGAGGCATAGGAGCGGTTTAAGGGATATCAACTTCAATGCCCCCACCATCACTTTTGCCTTGGGGTGCTTAATCAATTTTTCTATGATGGACTCCACCAAACCCTCCAATATATGGTAGACCATGCGGCCGGAGGGGATATTGGGAGTCACACGGCCGAGGAGATCTTCGAGCTTTACGAGATGTTGAGTGAGAATTCCCAACGGAAGAGCGTACGTAAGAGGACCCCCGTAAATGAAGCTACACCGTCAACCGGGTCTTCGAACGATGCCGTTCTTGCCAAGCTAGCCTCGTTGGAGGAGGAACTTAAACAACTACGGTTGAGAGATGTGAAGTCCACTCAAGTCGTTATGGCCGAGGTGTGTGGTTGTTGCGGTGAGACGGGGCATGGAGGGCATGAGTGTCCACGCTACATGGAGTCGGCTTATGATCCTAATCTTGAAGGAGTTCCATATGATATCAATGCCATTCAAGGATACGCCCCCCGGGTTTAAAATGACCCTTATTCGAACACGTACAACCCCGGGTGGCGAAACCACCATAATTTCTCATGGCGGGACCCGAAAGCGGGGTATGCACCCCAACCGGCTCCACAACAAGCCTATTCCCAACCTCAACAATATGCACCACCCAACAACCGACCACCATTTCAATCGAGGCTCGAATTTCAAGGATATCAACCAGGGCCTGAGTTTCAAGGGTACCAACAAGGGCGTGGAGGATTTGTCCTGAGACAACCAATGCCACCTCCACCGGAGCCCGACAAAGAAGTTAAGGCACCTACCTCGGACCCTCGAATTGACAATATGGAGAAGTATCTTCAAAGCCTCGCTTCAACCGTGTCCACCATCCATGAAACGGTCAAGGGCGTACCTTCAATCCAAGCTTCTCTCAAATGCCTCAAGACACAAATGGGGCAACTTGGGACGTCCATTGGTGAAATGCAAAGAAACAACAAGAAGGACCGACTTCCGAGCCAACCCGAGCAAGCCCAAGCCGTGACAGTCTTACGAAGTGGTAAAGTGGTGGATAATCGAGTTGAGATGCCTAGTGATGTGATGGTTGAGGATGTTGATGAAAAGGATGACGAGGAGGAGTTGAATGTTATGACGGATTCCGAGAAGAACAAGAAGGTGATGATCGAAGAGGAACCGAAGGAGAAAACCAAACCCGATAGCCTTGATACCTTGCACAAATCAGCTACACCATACCGCCCACCGGTACCTTACCCGAGTAGACTCCAAGACACCAAAAGAAACCGCCAATTCAAGGATCTATTCGATATGCTTTCCAAGGTAAATGTGAACCTTCCTCTACTTGATATGATAAAGAATGTGTCGGCTTATGTTCAATTCTTTAAAGACTTGGCCTCGAAGAAAATGAGGTTTGAGGATAATGAAAATGTGAGATCTCCGAAGTTGCTTCCACCACGATTCCGAGGAAAGAATGTGACCCCGGGGGTTTTGTGATCAAGATAACCCTCGGAAACAGGAAAGAGATGAATGGAATGCTTGATTTGGGAGCCGAGATCAACCTTATGCCATACTCAATTTTAAAGCAATTAGAATTGGGAGATATCAAGCCTACGAGGATGTGTTCGCAATTGGCGGATCGTACACTACATTATTCGAAGGGTGTTATTGAGGATATTTTAATCCGAGTTGGAAATTTGATTGTCCCGGCGGATTTCGTGGTACTTGATGTGGGAGAGGTCCCAAATACCGGGAATGAGCACACCATCTTTCTTGGCCGCCCGTTTATGGCCACTACCAACACTCTCATCAATGTCAAAGACGGGCGAGTCACATTATCGGCTCTCGGTGAAACGGTCACTTTTACAATGAGCGAGGCAAAGACCACACCGTCGTTCACCGAGAGTTGCTCTTATGTTAATGTAATCGAGGCGGAGGTCCACAACCTTTTTCATGCCGATGTCTCTTGTGAGTGTGGAGTTCCCGAAGGAGAGGAGCCGGAGAAGCTTGATCCTAAAGAAGAAGGTGTGGTGGATCTTATTGAGATATCCAAAGAACCCGAACCCCGGGAAATTTCGACCGAGCTTAAACCATTACCACCACACCTCAAGTATGTCTTTCTCGAAGAAAATGAGAAGAAGCCCGCTATTATATATTCAGGGCTTTCGAATGAAGAGGAAAAACTCCTTGTGGAGGTTCTTATGGCGAACAAGGATGCCCTCGGGTGGATTTTGAGTGATATCAAGGGGATAAGCCCGGCCACATGTATGCACCGAATTATTATTGAGGATGAGTCAAAGCCAATCCGGGAGGGTCAAAGGCGATTGAATCCCACGTTGATGGAGGTGGTAAAAGGGGAGATTCTTAAATTGCTACAAGAGGGGATCATTTATGCCGTGGCGGTTAGTGAATGAGTGAGCCCCGTACACGTGGTCCCGAAAAAGAGTGGAATTACGGGTGTGGAGAAAAACAAGAGCGAGCTTGTACCGACAAGAGCCACAACGGGGTGGCGTATGTGTATCGATTTCTGAAAGCTCAATGTCGCCACAAGGAAGGACCACTTTCCTTTGCCGTTTATTGATCAATTTCTCGACAAACTAGCCGGCCACCCCTACTATTGTTTCCTAGATGGATTATCGGGGTACTACCAAATCCCGATTGCCCCGGAGGATCAACCGAAGACCACCTTCACATGCCCTTTTGGCACTTTTGCTTTTTGGAGGATGCCATTTGGATTTTGCAACGCTCCCGCCACTTTCCAAAGGTGCATGTTTTTTATATTTTCGGATATGATTGGTGAGTTTATTGAGATATTTATGGATGATTTTTCCGTGTTTGGGGATTCATTTCTTGATTGCCTTGATAAATTGGGGAAAGTTTTGAATAGATGCATTGAGAATAATTTGACACTTAGTTGGGAAAAATCGCATTTCATGGTGCCTAGTAGTAATGTGCTTGGTCATGTCATTTCAACTAAAGGCATTGAGGTCGATAAAGATAAAATTGATGTGATTGAACAACTTCCACCCCCTTTGAATGTTAAAGGAATTCGTAGTTTTCTTGGACACGCCGGTTTTTACCGGAGGTTTATCAAAGATTTTTCGAAAATAGCACGACCATTGTGTGCCTTGCTTGCTCTTGACGTGCCTTTTGATTTCAATGATGAGTGCATGAATGCTTTCAATGAACTAAAACGTAGTGTTGTGACCATTTTTGTTGCGATTTTCGTTATTGTTTTATCATTCTTTTTCCCTCGTTTTAGGTCTTTTAGTTGGTTTTTATTTCGTTTTATAGTTTATTCTGTGTTTTCCTTTATTTTGGTTTCCTTTGTGTTTTTCGTGTGTTTTTCCAGTTTTTCTTCTTGTTTTTCGTGTGCAGATCAGAGGCATCGTGAGGGAATGACATGGATCGGGCAATCATGGTTATGTAGATGGACTCATTGCCTACACATAGGAAAAAACAGAGTTTGATTTCAAGTTCGGATGAATCCGGACGGAACCAAAACGCGAAGCTGCGCAAGTTACCGACCCTTTAAAGGTTGGAAATTCCACATAATTTGTACTCTGAGCAATAGTGTGATTTGCAAGCATCATTGGATAGAGAGGTTCGTTAGCGACACGTAGGAAAAAACGGAACTAAATTACGAATTCGGATGAGCTCAAACGAGACAAAAACGTAAAGTTGAGCAAAGCTGCCAAAGTCGCGACTTAAAAGTCGCTACTCGCGAGAAAAACTGCTGAAAATCAGTTTTTTTTTTTTATGGTTGGATTTTGGTTGATTTATTGTTGGAGTTTGGTTTATGTTGGTTGATAATTAGATGAATCATGTTTTATTCAACTCTATAAATAGCTAAAACCTATTCATCTATGGAAGACATCCAACATTTTATGTAATTTATCATTTATCTTTCAAACTTTCTACATTTGTAAGTTCGTATTTTGAAGTATATAAGTTTGAAGATTGTTGATGTGTTGAGACATTAAGTTTGCAATTCCTCTTGCTTGTGAATCAATAGTAAGTTTTCTTTTCATTTTATGTTATCAATGGTTTATTTCCATAAGAATTTGTATGTTAAAATTACTATGATCAACTAATTTTCTAATTAGGGTTAAGGGATAACGTAGGTTGATCACAGCACCAATTGTGATGCTCCCGAATTGGTCCCTACCTTTTGAAATTATGTGTGATGCTTCTAACTATGCGGTGGGGGACGTTTTGGGGCAAAAGGTCGAAAAACGACATCACGTGATCGTCTATGCTAGCATGACTCTCAATGAAGCTCAAGTTAATTACACTACTACCGAAAAAGAGTTTTTATCTATTGTCTTTGCACTAGAAAAGTTTCGTGCGTATGTTGTTGGTTATAAGATAATTATTTATAGTGATCATGTGGCATTGAGACATTTGTTAGCTAAAGCTCAATCGAAACCTAGATTAATTCGTTGGGTATTACTTTTGCAAGAATTCGATGTTGAGATTATGGATAGAAAAGGGTGTGAGAACGTAGTTGCCGATCATTTATCTCGCCTTACATTGCTTTCGAGTTCTTGTGATTTGCCCAATCTTGATGATTCATTTCCTTACGAGCATGCTTTTCTTGTTGATCGTGTGCCTTGGTATGCCGATATTGCTAATTACTTGGCTAGTGGTCTCTTGAATGATGACTTATCCTTCCAAGAAAGGAAGAGATTTATTTCAAAGTGTAGGTACTTTCTTTGGGAGGATCCGTACCTTTTCCATCTCGGAAAGGACGAGGTCATTAGGCGGTGTGTACCCGAGAAGGATCAACATGATATTTTGACCGCATGCCACTCGTCCAATTGTGGTGGCCATTTCGGAGGCCGGAAAACGGCATTCAAGGTGCTTCAAAGTGGATTTTATTGGCCAACGATCTTCAAGGATGCCCACGCCTTCTCAACTTCGTGTGATCGATGTCAACGCTCGGGGAATATTGGGAGGAGGAATGAGATGCCCCTTAACACGTTTCTTCCGGTTGAAATCTTTGAAGTTTGGGGGATAGACTTCATGGGACCCTTCCCGAGTTCCCATGGGTTTGAGTACATTTTGGTTGGCGTGGAGTATGTCTCGAAGTGGGTGGACGCCATCCCGGCTAGAACTTGTGATGCCAAAGTGGTGGTGAAGTTCGTGCAAGATCACATCATCAGCCGTTTCGGTTTCCCTCGAGCTATCATTAGTGATGGAGGTTCTCACTCTTGTAACCGGATATTCAAGAAGCTTATGGAAAAAAATGGGATCGCCCACAAGGTTGCTACCCCGTATCATCCTTAAACCTCCGGGCAAGTCGAAACGAGTAACAAGCAAATCAAAGCCATCCTTGAGCGAACCGTGAATGCCTCTCGACGTGATTGGTCCCAAAAACTCAGAGATGCATTGTGGGCACATCGCACGGCTTACAAACGTGTTCTAGGTATGAGCCCTTTTTGTTTGGTTTATGGAAAAGCTTGCCACTTGCCGGTGGAAGTCGAGCATAAAGCCTATTGGGCTATCCGGACCATTAACTTCGAGCTTGGCTTAGCCGGGAAGGAGCGATATTTGCAAATCGATGAGTTGGATGAGTTGCAAAATGAGTCGTATGAGAATGCACGGATTTACAAGGATAAAGTCAAAAGGTGGCATGATTCGAAAATTCTAAGAAAGGAGCTCAAGACCGGGATGAAGGTACTTCTTTTTAGGGTCAAAATCTTTTTCACCCCGTTATAAATCTATTCTTTCTTTTTCACACCGCCCCATCAAATAACTTCTTTTACACCCCAAAACTCACGAAATGCTATGAGATATTACACTCGCATGTCCAAAGGAACCAGCGCATATCCAATCGGCCGCATAATTTATGTCTATGCGTAAACATTTCGCATTTTTTTAATCGCATATCCACATCAAACACATAATTTATAAATGTGCGAACATCTTTCACATTTTTAGTAATCGCATATACAAATCGATTTGTAGCATAATTTACGATGATTATGCGCCTTCTTTTCGCAGGGCTATATCAACCTTGCAAATTTATGACTGCAAAAATATTTCGCATATAATTCGCATAGTTTGTTGAATACGCATTTTCTTGTAATTGCATATCCAAGTCAATCGCATAATTTACTAAATATGCGAAACAATTTCGCATATATCCTCCGGATAATTGACAATTATGTGACAATTTTTTCGCTCGCATATTTAAGAATCGCATAACCAAATCGAATAAAGCATATTTTTTTAACGATTATGCGCCATTTTTTCGCAGGGCCATATCGACCTGGCAATTTTACGACTATTCGGAATTCGCTCGCAGATCTTTCGCATAGGTTGCGCACCTTATTGATTGACTGCTTTTTCACAGGTGAGGATTTGGTCTCTGCATTTATCATGCAGGCAAGAAAACAGTGATCTCTAACAATTTAACGCCTGCACCATTCATCTACTGCATTTTTCTGTTTCTTTTTTTTAGTTCTTTTTGTTGTTCACTTATTTGAATGGCTAGCAACCGTGTTAGAGTATTGGTGCACTTTGGTGGTTTATTTTGCGAGGGTTCATATCTTGGTGGAGTGGCAGAGCTGATGAGAATAAATTACGGCCGACAAATATATTCTGAAGTAGTTTCTCGTGCTCAAGCATTATTGAAGGCCGATCCTTGTAATTTTGAGTACATATTGTGGGCAGTATTTGATGGAAGGGAACGAGTTGTGAAGATCAAAATCGAATCCAGTGAGGATATCTTAGAGCTGATTGAAGAACAAAGAAATCCCAACATTTACGTGGAGTTGGAGAAGCGAGTAAATGTAGGGATGCCGGGGCGAAACAAAGCTTCACGCAAATGATGGTGCCCCAAGGTCGTATTTCCGAGTTCTTTTGGTGTTGGTAGTTCTGCATTTTCCCACAAGGCCCCATATTCACATCAAGCAGACCCTAGTTCATTTACACATACTGGATATCCTCGGGGCGCTGATGATCAAACCTCGGGTTGTTCGAACCAACCAGGTCATTCTCGTGACGATGACAATAATGATGACCAAACAAACACGCACAATGGTGAGTCAGGCGACGAAGACAAAGAGGTCAATGAGAAGCAAATGCTCGTAATCCAGGTACAATTGTCGAAATCGGAATTGGGTTGCCTGCACACATCACACATGTCCCATAATAATCGCACAATTGAGTTGATTGCGCGTTTCGCATAATATGTCCTCATAATAATCGCACAATTAGGTTGATTGTGCGATTCGCATAACATGCAACATAATAGTCGCACAATTAGCTTCATTGTGCGATTCGCATAACATGTCCCATAATAATCGCACAATTGGGTTGATTGTGCGATTCCCATATCATATCCATAATAATCGCACAACTGGGATGATTCGCCTAGTCTTCAACCGCATAATTAACGAATCGTATATCCAAATCGAAAGCCGCATAATTTACGACTATCCGCCATTTTTTTCGCATATCCATATGGACCGCATTGATTGATTGTCTGCACCGCATATCAAAATCGAAAGTGCTTCGCATATTATTTGCGTACGTTACGCACCGCATTGATTGATCGTCTGCTTTTACACCTAAAAAACAATGAGGATTTGCATGCTTCCTCATTTAGTTGAGTTGATGTATATCTACCTAGCCTTAAATGCTATATGTATTCATTAACCTTTCATTCTCTTTGTTGAAGATGCGACCTTTCACTTCTCAAAACCCTATCTTTCCATCGCAGCCAAAAAAAACAAAAAAAACCAAGGAGGCCCACGTTTGGGAAAAAAAAATGGAAAGGATTTCACCTTATGAAAAGATCGCGATCCGCTTCCGTGGCATGGACTGGACAGAGGAGGAGGAACGTATTTGCTACCAAGTATTTTTCAAATGGTGTCGTCAGAAGACAGACATACACAAAGGCCATGTGTTCAATTCCTTGTGGACAGAAATTTCAATAGTCCTGAACCAATGCCTGAGTAATACATTTAAGAGGGAGTTTACTATTTCTCAAGTCCGGCGAAAGATTCAGCGACTTAGAAATTATTTCGATGAATTTACTGCTTTCCTGATGATTCCAGACGTCCTCTTGTATCGTGATACAGGCTTTGCTAGGGTTAACCACATGTACTGGGTGTATGTAGGGGAGGAGGTAAAGTGCATCTGATTTTTTATTTTAGTTTGTTCAAGCATGCATTTTTGTGACGCGGCCA